AAATGCTAAAAAATAGATTTTAAAGGGGTTTTTGGGGTGTTTGAAAGGTTTTTGCTTTTTCAAAGAAACCAAAACATAGTTATTTCAGAAGTGCAACAAATTGCTACTTATCTCAATCCGACGTTCAGTCACATTCAAATCAAAGGATTGGCAGTGGAAAGTTCATTACGGGACCTCGTATCTCATTTGTGCCGAACAAGAACGGAAAAGCAAAATAACGATTCAAACGGATGACAGTTATAACAAGAAAGAAATGGATCCAAAACACTAACAGGACATTCGAAATCAGAGGCATTTCACGATAACCGCATGAGCATGAAAATTTCGATTTCCAAAGATGATCCAACGGACGATATGATAAGGGAAGATGTGGATACGGATGATGAAATGCCTGACGAATTGGTACACGGATGAATGGAATCTCGCTGCTCTTCACAGTGGAAACAGTTGGGGTGATCCACAACGGAAACATCGTCACGGTTTCCACTATTACGTCGAAACGTGGAACCAACTTGCACAAGTTTTGAGCAAAGACTTCATGGAAAAAGAACAACCAGATCGTGAACTGTCCTTATTGGAACATGAAGAAAGTTTGGCATCTTTGTAAAACAAAATTCACATTGAAGTATTGGAAGCTAGTCTCAAAAGGACATTGTCGCGGTACTGGAAGCCATCAAAGTAGGATATCACTCGGGGAAAGCACTTTGAGCACTGATGAGAAAGATGGTCCTCTCCGTTTGGACACCGGTCAAGCATGAATGAGAGCCATTACGTTATCTACGACGCCCATTTTTCCCTAGGCAGATGCCAGCGATATTTAAAGGAAAGTCATAATTCAAATTAAAAATATTTTTAACATTTCTAATAAATGCATTCATATTATTATTTCTATTCGATTCTGCATGAAAAACTACAGTAAACCACTAAAAAAACCTTCAAAACCCCCCAAAAAAACCCTCTAAATGTCATTTTTGGCAAAAGTGTGACAAATGGCTCAGTGGGTTTTGGCACCGAAATTTACGGTTCACAAGGCCGAAAGTTCGATTCCTTCTGGGGTCAAAATTTTTTTTATTTTTGTGTGGACCCCGGAAAACTAGTTTTGAAAGCTTGAAAATACCTAAAAATTGGAATATCTGAAAAAATTTAAAAATTTCAATTTTCCCAATTTTTGATATTGTATGCGTATTCAAAAACTTTCAGAAATGATTTTCACGATTTTCTCTGCGTCTCTCTAGAAGCCCATGCTCTCTCGCTTTTATGCCTTTTTTTAGCTTTCCAGGTAAAAAAAACCGGAAAAATTGATTTTCGAGCCTCTAAAACTATGAAAGACAACCCAAAACACATGAAAAACTACTTAAAATCACTAAAAACTCCAAGAAACCACTAAAACACTCAAAAATAACATTTTTCAAAAAAGTGTGCCAAATGGCTCAGTGGGTTTTGTCACCAAAATTTAAGGACCACAAGGCCAAAAGTTCGATTCCTTGTGGGGTCAAAATTTTTTTATTTTTGTGTGGACCCCGGAAAACTAGTTTTGAAAGCTTGAAAATACCTAAAAATTGGAATATCTGAAAAAATTTAAAAATTTTCGAAAATTCCAATGTTATCAAAAATAGGTCGTGTTCAGGCTCATTTTGAAGCGAATTTCATGCTGAATTCGATCTTTTCATTAAAAAAATACAAAAATCCTAATCGATAGACATCTGTCCAAAAAAATCTAAAAAAGCGTTTGGAAAATTATTTTTGTGTGAATTCTAAAAAAAATAGTTTCTTGGATGCCAATTAAATGCATATATGGGTTTCCCATAGTTTTTTTCTTTCAAGACTCCGCCCACTGAGACCCCTGGTTCTCTTCTTTTCTTGTATAATTCGATTTTTATCAGTTGACACATTTTTTATATCTCTCATAGGACCCGAGATAATTGAGCTCCAAGTGGAAAAAAACAAAAAAATTACAGACCCGGAGTGTTGTGGTGTGTGGCTAATTTGCTCCTTCATGTAGATCGATTTTTTCTGCATCCACCAATCCATCAATTATCTGAAAATTATTGATTTTCATAACTTATAATTTTGAATATTCGAAAAAATAAATAAATAACTAACTGAGTAGCTATGCAGTTGGATGGATCAGTGTCCTTTCGCGTTTCCCCTTTTTGGTGGGTCTTTCCGTGGTTGTTTCTTTCTCCATTTACTGAAAATCTACAGTATACTATACCTGAAAAAAAAGGAATTTGAAGCGACCACAATGGGAAATATCAGAAAGTCTTTCATGGAAATTCTGCCGAATTTGGAAAATTGCAATATTAAAACCCTTATTTGGTTGAGCTCAGTTATCTCAATTCACATAAAAGATCTCAAAGAGTTGTCAATTAATAAATTGTTTATCATATCATCAGCTACATTTTATCAGTTAACCACTTTTTGATATCTCTTTTAGGAACTGAGATAATAAAGCCTAAAAGTATATGCAATAAAACTGATCGATGCGAATGACTTCTAAATTTAAGCTCAGTTATCTCGATTCCCATAAAAGATATCGAAAAGTGATTAATTAATAAAATGTTTATCAAGTTATCAGCTACATTTTATTAGTTGACCACTTTTTGATATCGCTCATAGGAACTGAGATAATTGAGCTCGAAGATGACAGACTATTCTTTCAGTGGTGGACTAGAAATCTAGAAAGTTAGGCCATCATTTTTAAAACTCACCCAAATTTTTCACTAGATTTGGAAATACTATTTTTATACTGCAAAAAGTTCTTTAAAAATTCAAAAATTTAACTAAACTCACATTTCCCAGCCATAATGATTCCAGCCGACCAAATGTCAATCTCAGCTCCATACTTCTCAGAGAAGTTCAGGTGCCACATATCCTGGAGTGCAAACTGTTGGGTTGGAGCTGAAAGAATAGCTTTCAAGCTCCTTAGCTTATTGAATTTGAATTCAGGAAGTTAAGAGCTTTAAAATGAGCCAAAGCACGACCATATTGGCTCAAATTTGAAATTTTCAGCAAAATTTTTCCGCCTAAGTATAGACATGTTTATGCTCATTTTGAAGCGCTTGACGAGCTGATTCCAAATTCAACGCAAAATTTCCTTCAAAATGAGTAAAAACAAGGCCCAATTCGCTTGAATTTGAATTTTTCGAAAAATCCCAAAAATTTAAAGGCGCATACCTCCAAAAAAGCAAGTGATTCAAGTCGAAAGAGCACAAGACAAGGTGGAAGATAGTGTGTCCTTCATTGTCTGTAATATTTCAAAATCATATCATTATCACTTCTTTGGAAAATTACTTTTTGTTGAGAAGCATGTCATGGACCATGAGAACCTCTTTGAGCAAGAAACCTGGGATATTGTCATCTCTACTTTCTTCTGATCGACGTCTTCATAGCATAACTTTGATTCTGAAAACAATTCGGATAATAAAAAATTCAAAATTCAAAAAAAAAACTCACAATTTTCAGAAAAATCGTTTTTTTTTAATTGTAGACCTCATTCAGTAAGTGGTCCAAAGGGAAGGTTATCTGAAACAAAAACTCTCTAATTTTCAAAATTTCAGTCAAAAACTCACTAAATTTCTCAAAAAATCAATTAAAAGACCATTAAAACACACATAGTCAGGGGTTGGAATAGAATAGAATGGGGGTTTCTTGTTCGCTTTTCCGTCGATTTCCACGATTTTCTCTGCGTCTCTCTAGAAGCCCATGCTCTCTCGCTTTTATGTATTATCATAAAAACGGAATATTTTATGGTTCATTTTGCAAGAGATTGGGGAAACGCAGGCAAATATCTATTTTCGCTTTCACAGATAATAGGAAATTACTGAACGCAGAAAATTTTTCCAAACTTCTTTTTTTGCAAAAGAATGTAAAATTGATGGGATTTCATCAACAAAATTCAAAAAAAAATAATTAATACTTTTGTTACTTTTTGTTACTTGTGCTTGTTCATCTATTGTTTTCCATTTCATTTTTGTGCTTTTTGTTGTTTTTGTTGTTTTTGTCAAATAAACTGGTAATTTTTGACTAATTGAAATTCGAGAAAATTCGAGAACTCGATTTTCCGAATTTGTTTTTCCGAACAAGCCTGATACATATCTAATTATATTTTGAATTTTCCACCCGTCCGTTCTTACCCCTCTTTTTTGTTTTGAATATATCTTGAAATGTCTTTTACAGACCAAATGAATAATACCGAAATTATGATTAATGATCCGTAAAAGCTCGCTGAGCTTACTTTCTAATCCTCCACTACCTATTACTAAATGTCTGGGAGACAACCACAGTATTTTAAAGGAGGGGGGACATGAAAAAAATAATGTTCTCGAAATTCCGTTCAAAGATGCCCCTCGAGGAGTTGAACTTGTGAGGGCGATGATTGAGGGTGCGGCGCCGCTACCGACTGAGCTACGCGGGCAAAGAGAAAGTGCACGCCCGTTTGCATACATAAAGGCGAGGACGACAGCTGTACGCAGAGTGACATTAAGCGTTGTACACCGTCACGGTAGAATGCATACTCTAGCTACAAAAAAACTACGAAAAATCTCCTGTCCCCCCACCTTTAACAAGAGAAAAGGTGCACTGGAGTCGTCGCCAAATGAGATGGCATTTTCGAGACGTACGGCGGTTTCTCACACCCCCGCTGATATACTTCATATTGAACAAATATGAAATAAAATATTTATTCGATGCAAAATGGTTCATGATATGTTCAAAAGATGAAATTGAATGCTAAATCGTTATAACCGACAAAATCAATAAATTAATTGTCCCACGGATTTTGAGCTTTTCGTTTTGATTTCACATCCTTAATATTTTTGTCATCGTCAAATTTTCCAAAGATTTCAGGTGCATCGCCACGATTTGGGTGTTTGCCAGATGCAATAAGCAACCAAGTCGATCTCCACCTGAATTTGAAGTTTGGGACTCAATCGATTGTTGCAAAATGTGAAACTTACTACTCAAAACTTTCAAAATGATTGCGGCGCACATGTAAAACAAGTCGAAGCTTTCCATTTGGGATTGTTCAGCATCCAGTTCTGCAAAACAACAGTTTCAAAACAAGTTTTCGATTGAAAACAGCTATTTTTGACATTTTTATTCATGAAAAACCACTCAGAACTACTAAAAACCACTAAATAAGCTCTAAAACGCCAATTTCCCAAAAAGTGTCCAAGGTGGCTCAGTGGGTTTTGGCACCGAAATTTACGGTCCACAAGGTCAAAAGTTCGATTCCTTCTAAAGTTATTTTTTTTAATTTCGCATAGAGGCGAAAATGATATTGTAAGACGAATTTGAAGTGTAAGAATGGAAATTTTATTTGCTTCCAAAAAAATTTTTTTTTTTTTTAATTTTTATTTTCGATTTTTTTGGTTGCAAATAGCCATTTAGACTTTTTAAATCATGACAATTTACTCAGAACCCCTAAAAACCTTTAAAAACCCACTAAAAAAGCTCAAAGACGTCAATTTCTCGAAAAGTGTTGCAGGTGGCTCAGTGGGTTTTGACACCAAAATTTACGGTCCACAAGGTCAAAAGTTCAATTCCTTCTGGGGTCTATTTCTTTTTATTTTTGTGAGCACCTCAAAAATGACAGTTTCATACATATTTGGGGTGTAAAATTAATTTAGAGATTCGTTTAAAAGTTAAAAAAAGGAAAACTCACATTTTCAGAAAAATCACTTTGAAAAATTGTAGACCTCATTCAGTAAGTGGTCATAAAGAAGGGGAGGAGTTATCTAAAACAAAAACTCTCTAATTTTCAAAATTTCAGTCAAAAACTCACTAAATTTCAATAAAAATCAATAAAAAGACCATTAAAACACACATAGTCAGGGGTTGGAATAGAATAGAATGGGGGTTTCTTGTTCGCTTTTCCGTCGATTTCCACAATTCTCTCTGCGTCTCTCTAGAAGTCCATGCTCTCTCGCTTTTATGTATTACCATAAAAACGGAATATTTTATGACTTTATAGCAAGAGATTGTGGAGACGCAGAGAAATGTCTTTTTTGAGCTTTCCAGGCAGAAAAAAACTGTTGGAAATTTATTTTCAACTCTTAAAACTATGAAAAGTGATCCGAAACAGTCAAAAATGGCAGTTTAAGAACGTTAAAATTAAGAAAAAAGGTCCAAAACGGACAAAAAAGACACTAGAAACCTTGAAAAATCACTGAAAAAGCTCCAAAATGGCTTTTTGCAAAAAAGTGTTCCAAATGGCTCAGTGGGTTTTGGCACCAAACTTTACGGTCCACAAGGCCAAAAGTTCAATTCCTTCTGGGCTCAAATTCTTTTTATTTTTGTGTGGACCTTGGAAAAGTACTTTTTGCACTTTAAAAAATTCCTAGAATTTCGAATTTTCGGGGAAAAATCCAAAAAATGTGTTTTTTTTTAAATTTTCGAAGTTATTAAAAACGGGTCGTGTTTAGGTTTATTTTGAAGAGAATTTTATGCTGGATTCGAGTTTTTGACTTGAATTCATGAAAATCTATCTCTTGAAATCCCAAAACGCCTGGAGACAGTAAGACAAGAGATTACATTCCCTTAAGAGACGCAGAGCAACCTTTAATGGTGACAACGACCTTCAAGGCTATTTGGCACTTTTCGATGGATAGGACAGCGAGAGAGTATTGATTTTCAGGAGAGTGGCAGAGAAAGAGAGAGAGAGGAAAAAAGCCAATAAAGAAAGAAGACGTCTTCCACCTTCATTCGTATCTATTCTCCCCTACCTGGCTGTGTGTCTTTTAACGACCTCTCATTATTGATTTTCTGTAAATTTGTGAGTTTTTAGAGTTTCTAGATTAAAATTTCAGACAAAAATACTTTCAGATAACCTTGCTGATGACCACCTTCTGGATGGAGGTCTCCAATTTTTCTTGATTTTTCTGAAAATGTGAGTTTTTTGGATTTTTGAGTTTTTAAAGACAAATCTAGTTTTTCAGATGTTTTATGGTATGACCCCTGTTTGAGCCAACTGAAAAAGATATGATTAGGATAGAAAGCATCAGATCGCTGCGATAGAACAATTCATGATTATGTCGGTTGGAGGAGCCTTCACCTGGGTCTACACTGCGACATGGGACGCACCTGGGTCTACTACCATGTGAAACAAGGCCACATGGTCTTTTTCATTGCCCTGGGAACCGAGGAAAACTTGAAGATCTATAAAGAATGGATGGCTTCAAAACGACCACATTCCTGGATCCTCATGGAGTTGAAGAACGAGCTGAGAAGAGTGGAAGTGCGCGCAGGAGAGTCGGTCGTTCTTCCAGCCGGCTGCCTTCATCTGGTGTACACTCCAGGGGATTCGTTGGCAATAGATTTGTTGACCACAATGACAGCATGAAGTCTGAAGTTTGCCTGTCGACATATTTGAGAACGTGCGTTTTTATCCATAGTTTCAATTAACAATATATTGTATTACAGTCAAACCGCCGCTTTGTACGTATTGGGTTAGCCAGCTGTTGCCAGGAAAATCAAAAAACAATAATCAAGCTCTCTCGACAATACATGTAAGCTACACTATTATCCGATGAAGCTATTTCCAATTTTTTTAGATTCTCTCAAAAACAGGGGGACAACAGAAGGAATCAACACTTCCAACATGAAAATGAATGAAAATGCTTCAGAAGGTGGCCTCGGGTGGTGAGAACTCGGCCAACAACACACCGCTGAAACACATATGAGCAACGTAACTTAGTTTACAAAAGAACGTGGCGAAAAATTAGACTGAGATCGTCTTGTAAGTCCACTTACACTTTCAAATTTATTCAACAAATGTTTTGTTTTCAGAGAAAGATCAAGGGTCTGTTGAGGTTAAAGGAACTATGTCGGCTCTAGAAATAACGACGATCGTGCCACCAAAACTTGCTGCCGCTTGCTACAACGGAGATGTTTCGGCCACAATCTCATCAGATACTAAAGACGTTGCTTCCGTTTGTGTTCAACCGGAGAAGAATCAAGTCTTTCTAAAACCAGCTTCACTCTGTTCCTGAATCAAAGCACAGATCTTCTCAGTGAGTTTTTACTTTCATTCCAGAAAGCAGCTGATAATCCGATGTGGCTGCTACTTAGTCTTCCGAGTACCACGTTCACAACGGTCGCTCACCAGTCTAGCTCTACCAAGCTCCCCAGGAGACAGCCACCAATAACCGCAACGATATTGAAGAATTCTTTAGATGCAAGATTTACCGAACTGAAGTCAAGATTCGAACAATATATCTCTGCCCAGGAACACAAGAGCACACAAATTGCGAACTATATGTTTTCTAAGGTGAGTGACTAAACATTTCACAACTTTTACTAAATGACAAAATTTCAGAAAATATTTTCATTGCGAAACTGGGAGTCGAAAATTGCGGATTCACAGTGAATCATCAGGAAGACTTCAAAGCGCCACGATGTATGAGAAGCAAAAGAATTTAGCGACAAAAGGCCCAGGAGTTCATCGCACGGTTCGAAAATCCAGCTGTGGCTGATGGATGTGTTCAGAATGTTCCAGACGCTCTGAGTTGGGCACAAGACGTTCAAAAAGAACTGCAGATTGTTCTTCTGGCTGTTACTCGTTCACAAGGCTTGCTCTCCATGCTGGGTATTGATTTTCTTTGGAGCTCTTGGAGCTTTGCGTTTTGGAGCTTTTGGAAAAGGAAGTTGTTGCCAAAGGGAAATTCAATGCAATCAGTCCAATGCTGCAATGGGATTGATTTCAATACTGGAAACCATCGTGAATGTCATATGTCTGGTGGAGGAAGAGGTTCCATTTCACCATCCGCTCACTACAACACCGACGGATTTGCTTCGGATTTGTAGGTATAGGTTTGAATAGCATGGAGACTTGTTCCAAGTGAAGGAGAAGATATATTTTGATTTTTTTTTCTAGATTTTGTATTTGTTTCGATTGAAAATAAAGTAAAATTAATCTCGGTTTTCCTTGTTGTGTGTGTGTGTGTGTGTGTGTGTGTGTGTGTGTGTGTGTGTGTGTGTGTGTGTGTGTGTGTGTGTGTGTGTGTGTGTGTGTGTGTGTGGTGGAGGCTGTGGTGAATCATAACGTCACCAAAAGTAGGTACCTATCATAGGCTCTCCTACTTGCCCCCAAGGAGGGCCTACAGCTCCCGTAACATAGGAGAAGAAAAGGTTGAGACTTCAATACAAAAACGACAAAAGTTTATTGTAAAAAAAAAAGACGGGATCGAAAGTTTTTCCATCTCCGCCTTGGACAAGTTGGGATCCCATCTACCTACCTACGTACCTTCTAACTTACCCACGAGAAGAGGGCTCAGAACGGTTGCAAACACAGACGAATAGGGTCAAATGACGTCATCTGAAGAGACAAACAGTTTGCAGCAGTTATGTGGACCACAGTGTGGTGGAGAGCGAGAAAGTGTTGATTGTCAGGAGAGCGTGTCCGTTTATTCCGTGTCACTGGCCCTAGCGAAGGCACCAGTAGACCAAATTTTCTCAAATTTTCAAAGATAATCCAAAATATCAGCGAGATGATGCCCCAACTTTTCTTCTCTCGAAATTTTGATCTTGAAGCGTTATGATTTGCCGATGGATCAAGCGATTTGATGAGCAGCCAGCATTCCTTGTCTTTGAAAGCCCAACAATCAATTAGTATGTGAACGACGCAGTAAGCACCTGATTGTATCTATAACATAATAAGCTTAATGTTCTTGAGATCCCCTGTTCTGGGATGTACCCATACTTTGCTCTACGCTATAGAACACGGAAAATTGGAGAGGTACACACGTTGTTGGTGCCGCTACGCACTGAATGATGAAGGAACTGTACAATGGAGGATTGGTCCGTGCTTATGCGTGGTAAATTGTGTATATCGTCGCCCCTTCTTCCAAAAGAACTTGTAAGATGCATTGATTGAAAAAAACACATATTTATCAGTGTATTTTCAGCCGTTTTGACAATTGTTATAACTTTTGGAAAATCCTTTTTGAGGAAAATCGTTTAAACTACAAAATAGACAAAATTTTCTACAATTCTGTCTGAGAATCACATTTCTAGCGCTTCTAGGAACCGAGATATATCCGCAAAAATTTTAGGAGGCTAGAGACGCAGGCGACGAGACACACTGCGTCTCTAACCTCCGGAAACTTCAAATGACCATATCTCGAGTTCTAAATGAGCTAGAAAGTTGGTTTTTGGACAGAATTGTAGGGTTTGTAATGTATTTTCCGCAAAAAATAAAAATATAAAAACAGCAAATTGCATTCGAACAGCAAGCTTCACTGAACTTTACGAACACATATAGAATTTTCCAGGAATTGGCTTCGTGAGAAGTGGATGTAAAGTTTTTCGACCGACTGATCTCTACGCTTGGACGCTTGGACTCTCGTCTGGACGATGAGAAATTTCGCACGGACTTCTGCTCTTTTTATTAATTGCAATCCATTCTCGAGAAACTCCCCTTAAAGGGTTTGAGATTAGAAATTCTACATTTTAATCGATATGAGAAAATTCGATATGAGCGAAATCATTTCACTCCCTCATTAGAAGAAACTCACCAACTTTTCCTCCCCCTGTAACTTGACAAATATTCCTACCTTGGCTTTGGCTCAGATGTACCCACCCTTTTCATATATTTTCATATATTTTTTGCTTATTTCTCAAAATAAAATTATAATAACTCGACTAATTTTCGCTTTCTTCAAGTTGCAAGTTGCCATTTCAGCATTTTTCATCATGAAAAACTACTTTGAACCACTAAAAATCCCAAAAATATCTTCAGAAACATCTAAAATTGCAGTTTTAAAAAAATTGGGCCAAATGGCTCAGTGGGTTTTGGCACCGAAAATGTACTGTGCACAAGGCCAAAAGTTCGATTCCTTCCGGGGTCAAAACTTTTTTATTTTTGCGTGGGCCGCGGAAAATTAGCTTGTGCACTTTGGAAATACCTGGAAATTAGAAATTTGAAACAAAATTTTTTGAAAAATCAAACTTTTCGAAAATTTCAAAGTTATCAAAAATGGGTCGTGTTTAGGCTCATTTCAAAGGAAATTTCATGCTGGATTCGAATTTTTAACTTGAACTCATGAAACTCTATCACTCAAGGTCCCAAACCGGCTGGAGACAGTAAGAAGAGAGAGTGCATCCTACTCGAGAGACGCAGAGAAATCTTACAGGGTGACAACGACCTTCAAGGCTATTTGACACCCTTCGGTGGATAGCACAGCAATAGAGTATTGATTTTCAGGAGAGTGACAGAGAAAGAAAGTAAAAAGGCCTACTGAGTTTCTACCAAGGCTATGTATATGGTTGTCTATTGATTTTCGGCTCCCGGACATTTCGCAACCTCTGATAACGTCAGAAAATCAGAATTCCAAGTTCTTTGGTTTTGAAAAAAGTATATTTTAATGTAAGAAATTTCTGAATTTCTGAATTTTTGGATTTCTGAATTTAGAGTTATCCCCATTTTTCAAGCCGAATCTCAATTCGGCAACATGGCACGTTGCCAAGATTCAAACAGATGGTGGAGACACGCCCATTTCTCTGCGTCTCTTCTTCCTTCACACTCTATCGCTTTTCCTTCCTCCGAGGAAGGCTAATAACCTTCTAAAAAGGGGTCCTTGGTTAGTCTCTCTATACCTCCCAGACGACGTACCTCTCTTTTTTCTCGGTTTTTCTAAAGTGTTCTGTTCAGATTACTGTAGTTTTCTTTTTCTTACCACTATTTTTTGATCTAGAATACCCCAACAATGCTTATTTTGGCGTCGAAAATCAAAAAAACCCAAAAATATGAAGAAAACCGATTTAGGATCCAGATGTCCCAATTTTCGCAAGAAACATTTTTTGATTTATTGATTTTCTAGCTAAATGGAATTTGAGGATTCCAAAAATGCAATCTAAATTTTGCTAGCTTTCTTCCAAACTGAGTTATGAGCCTTTAAAGATAGGAGTAACCCCGGAATAGTCGAAGCTAGTTTAGCACCTATTTTTTAATGACTTCTAATCCGAATTCATGATTTTTGAGTTTCGTCAAAATTTATATCACTTTGAAGAAAATTTTAAGAGCTATTTGATATTTTCTGAATTATTCGAAAATTTTTATTTTTAAGAAAGTTATGGCCCTTTTTGCGGCAGCTCTCAAATTTCTAAATTTCCTGAACATCATAACTCGTTTCTGGTTGAACAATAGAGCACTTTTGATAACAAATTCGGAATCAGCGTAGTTGAATTAGTCTAGAAACACTTAGATTACATTTTAGCTCTAAAAACCGCGATTTTCCAGTGGTGGCCTAACTTTTGCAAAACCTCGGCCACCACTCCCAAAATGGCTCTGGGCCCCTAAAAACTTAAGAAAACGATTTTGAAGTGCTGAAATTCATTTTCAGCATGAAAAACCACTTCAAAATCTGCGTTTTAAGCGATTTGTGGAGTGATGGCCTAACTTTTGCAAAACCTCGGCCACGACCCTAAAAATTATCCTAAACCTTTTCGAATGTCAAAGACAATCAAAATAGTTTTAAAGCGCTATCTGAGCACCAAAAAAACCTAAAAAATTCTGGGGATGTTTTCTGATGGTGGCCTAACTTTTTCAAAACCTCGGCCACGACCCTAAAAAGTATCCTGGACCTTTTAAAACGATTCATGAGCGCTCTCAAAGCGTTAGAATTCCAAATCTGCACGATCTGCTTCGAAATCTGCTTCGAAATCGGTATTTTGAGCGGTTTGGGAGTGGTGGCCTAACTTTTTCAAAACCTCGGCCACGTCCCTAAAATCCACACTGGACCTTCTAGAATGTCAAAAACGACCAAAATAGTTTAGAAAAGCTATCTGAGCTGCAAGAAAAACCTTAAAAATGGCTCTATGGCTGTTTTCTGATAGTGGCCTAACTTTTACCAAAACTCTTCCATTGGTACAACTCCCCTATTTTGAAGGTTTCCGCTGCGGAAAAAAAGTGTCTAGGGGTAATTTTTAATGAGAAATCCGAATTTTAAGTTGGAATCTTTCAAAAACGAGTAGGAACTTTGGAAAATTGAGTTTTCCACTTAAAAACCGTTATTTTCTCGTTCAACATCCTATTTTCCCTCAAAATCGCTCGTTTTTCTTCATTTTTCCTGTCTTCTAGATCAAATGTTTTCAAAAATTGTTTCAGATCATGTCCCAACTGATTCCAAAGTTCTCAAAAGGAGAGAATGTCGTGTGTGTCTCCAAAGGCACCCCCTACAAAGCAAAAGTGATCAATATCACCACAAAACATGGAGCAGAATGCTATATTGTGCATTTTGACGGCTGGAATTCCAGATATGACGTGGCAATTGAAATAGGCAGTGAGAATGGAGAGCTATTCAAAGGGACCATGGAGGAGTACCAAGCAAAAATGGGCGGAGCTTCCATCCCATCGACTTCTGGAGTAGCTGTTGCCAAGGCTGCAAAGACTACAAAGACTACAAAGACTACAAAAGTGCCAAAAACCTCGAAAACCACGATTTCCAAGAAGAAGTCAGCCAAAAAGGTCCAAAAGGTGGTCGCCAAAAAAGCTGAGCAATCCGATGGCTCTGATGAATTCTAATTCATTTTTATTCTCTGAAATATATATGAAATCATTATTTCTGTTGATTCTTTGTTACTTTTTTTCAGAAAAATCGAAAAAATTTTTTTTTTGAAAAATCAAATTTTTTCAAAAAATTCAAAAATCGAAAACGGGCTCAAAATGCTCTAAATACAAACAAAAACGGCTAAAAAAAACATGCAAAAAACATTTGCCACCGAGTGGACTCGAACTCGGGTCGTTAGATTGGTAGTGAAATTTTCGAAAATACCACTGAGCCATCTGCGCACTTTTTTGAAAAAGCGCCAGAAAGCTGGTTTTTTGAGGATTTCAGGCTGTTTTTGATGACTTTTTGCGGTTTAAAGCTAATTTTACCGTTTAAAAATGCTGATTTTCAAAAAAAAAAAACCCGAAAAATCCTAAAAATTTCAAACTGATTGTGAGAATAATTCATATATATATATCCATAGCCAAGACATACATTCAAAGAAATAATTAAAAAATTATGCTGCTGCTCATTATACACATAAAAAGCCAATAAAATGAGAAAAAGTAAAATAATTAATCATGTATAAATTACAGTATACCGGACCAACAAAAAAAAGTGAAAAGCGAGAAAAAAGAGAAGTGGGCGGGGCTTCGGGGAGGGAATGTAAATTTGGAGAATTTTTGAAGGGGCGGGGTCAAAGATGGGACACTAAAAAAAGCTTAAAATTAGGCTGAAAATAGGCTTAAAATATAGGCTCAAAATTAGTCAAAAGTAGGCTTAGAATAGTCCGAAAATAGGCCGAAAAATGGGCTTAAAAAGGGTCAAAAGTAGGCTTAAAATAGGCTGAAATAGGGCCACAAATTAGATTGAAATAGGTCGAAATAGGCCCATTTTTAGGTCTTTTAGGCTTACTTGAGGCCATTCTCAGGCTAATTCAGACAATTAATAGGCAAATATAGACCAAGTTTGGGCCATTCTAGACCGTTTTAAGACTATTCTAGGCCGATAGCGGGTCATTTTTAGGCCATTCTAGGCCATTTTAGACCGTTTTTAAACTATTTCAAGGCTATTTTAGGCAAGTTTAAGGCTATTCTAGGCTTATTTAGGCCATTTTAAGGCTATTTTAAGCCAAAAACGCTCATTTTTATTCATTTCTCGACGCCGGACGTGATCCTGGACGAGACGACGTGCCGGTGCCTGGCGGACGAGCGATTCTCGAATTCGGTGGTGGTCGGGCGATGCCACTGGCGGTCCCAGGACGAGACGATGAAGGAGCAGCTGAAAATTCGGGAAAAAATCGATAAATTTGGGCTGAAAATCGATTGCTCACCGATTCTGGATCTAGAAGACGTCGCGGGGGCTCCAGAAGACGTTGACGTCATCGGCCGGGCGATTCCAATCGGTTTGGCGGGTCCAGGGGGTACTGTAGATGCTCCTGGAGCAGTTACACGGCGGACCACATTCGGTTTGACTGGCTGGATTCGGACGGGTCCTCCAGATGACGTTGGGCGGGACGACGACAAAGAAGTGGGCGGGGCTGAAATGCATTTCAGATTTAGGCGATTTTTAGGCCTTTTCCAGGCTAATTTAGGCCTTTTTTCAATGTTTTCAGGGCGATCTAGGCTCACTTCAGGCTCATTCCGGTCATTTTTAGGTATTCTGGTCAATTTTAGGTATCCTGGTCAATTTTAGGCTGATTTAGGTCAATTTTAGGCTGATTTAGGTCAATTTTAGGCTGATTTAGGTCAATTTTAGGCTGATTTAGGTCAATTTTAGGCTGATTTAGGCCAATTTTAGGCTGATTTAGGTCAATTTTAGGCTGATTTAGGCCAATTTTAGGCTGATTTAGGCCATTTTTAGGCTGATTTAGGTCAATTTTAGGCAGATCTAGGCCTCTTTTAGGCTGATTTAGGTCAATTTTAGGCCGATCTAGGCCTCTTTTAGGCTGATTTAAGCCAATTTTAGGCTGATTTAGGTCAATTTTAGGCTGATTCAGGTCATTTTAGGCTGATTTAGGCCATTTTCAGGCTAATTCAGGTCAATTTTAGGCTGATTTAGGCCATTTTTAAGGCCTTTTTAGACGTTTTTTGGCTGATTCAGGTCAATTTTAGGCCGATTTAGGTCAATTTAGGCTAATTTATGTCAATTTTAGGCCGATTTATGTCATTTTCAGGCTGATTTAGGTCAATTTTTGGCTAATTTAGGCCCCATTAAGGCATATTTAGACACCTTTCCGGGACTAAAACCTCACCTCCTCTTCCAACTGCCCCCGGACGATTCGCAGGTACCGTAGGAATCGGTGTCGGGGCTACAGTACCCTTTGGCTTCGTGGTCCCAAAATTCGGCGCCGGTCTCGCCACGAATTTCTTCGGGGCTACTGTAGCTGTTGGCGGCGGGGGCGGAACTTTGGGAGATGGCGCTCGACGGGTTACTGTAGCTGTTGATGGGCGGGGCGCTGGAGCAGAGGGGGCGGAGCTTCGAGCGGCTGGCGCTCGAGATGTGGTCGAGGGCGGTCGGGTGGCGGTCGGCGCCGGTCGAGCCGTGGTCGGAGGCGGTCGAGACGGGGCGGAGCCCAATTTGTAGTGTTTTGCGAGGCGGAGCATTTCTGGAGTGGCTGCGCTACCGTAATCCTTCACCAGCTCTTCGATAATAGTGGGAATCTGAAAATTGGAGATTTAGAGGCCTGTTTTTAGGCGTTTTAGGCCGGAAATAGGCTATTTAAAGTAATTTTTCTCGAAATTTCAGACATTTTCAGTCAAGAATCGCTCACTTTTTCAGCCTTCAGCTTATCGTCATAGACGTCGGCCATCAGTCGCTTCGCCACACTCTCACCCAGCGATTTTTGAATGGCGGCAACAATTCGAAGTGCCGCTTCACGGACTTCTTTATCCGCGTCGTTGGTAGTCTGAAAATTTCGAGATTTTCAGACTTTAGACTTTGAACCATTGAGAAGACGTTGTCAGATCTGAATTTCCCGCTGAAAATGAGTCTAGACGTCGAAAACTAGAAGTTTCTAGCTCAATTTTGAGAATTTTCAAAATTTCGCAGGTTACTGTAGGTCCAAAAGTACGCAAACACCGCATGACGCTATTTCGAGCAGGGATTTCTCACATAGGCCAAGTAAATGGTGGGAAATTCGAAATTGTTAGTGAAAAGTGTGAGAAATCAACAGAAATTGGTAAAAACCCGGATTTTTTCGAATTTTCGGGATTACGGTAGCTCCAAACGTACGCAAAACGGGATCTGACTGAAATAGGAGCAACGTATTTGAATTTGTTACAAAATTTGAGCCTAAAAGCAGAGAACCAGAGATCTCTAGCGTGATTTTAAAGATTTTCGAATTTTCGCGGGTTACTGTAGCTCCAAAAGTACGCAAACACCGCATGACGCTATTTCGAGCAGGGAATTCGCACATAGGCCAAGTAAATAGTGGGAAATTCGAATTTGATAGTGAAAATTGCCAAAAATCACCAGAAATCCGTGAAAATCCAATTTTTCAGAAATTTTCGGGTTACTGTAGATTCCAAAGTACGCAAATTCTAAACCAGATTGCTATATTCGAATTCCCCGCAAAAAATGAGACTGGAAGCCAAAAACTACAAGTTTTTAGCTCAATTTTGAGAATTTTCAAAATTTCGCAGGTTACTGTAGGTCCAAAAGTACGCAAACACCGCATGACGAGCAATCGGCGCCAAATTTCGCGTCTAGACCAATTTGAGGTCGGGAAACGCGATTTTAACATTGAAAATCGTTAAAAATCTCGGGAGAGACCCAAAAACGGGGGATTACTGTACCTTGAGAATGTGCTCGCCGAGCTGTTTGACGACATCGATTTCGACGGTCTTCATGTCGTTTTTCGCGTAGAAACGGGCCAAAAATAAGGCCGTCTGTTGTCGTGTTTGCGGATTTTTCGATGCCAATGCCGTGATGATGGATTCGGAGTAGGCGGAGAGGGGGGTCTGGAAAATCTTCGTTTTGGGTTTTTTTGGGGCCGTTCTTAGGCCATTTTCGGCCGTTTTACATGACTTTTGGGCCATTTCAGACCATTTTTAGACCAATTTTAAGCAATTTGAGATCAAATTTAGGCCGTTTAAGGCCAATTTTCGGCCATTTTTAGACAATTTTTATGCCATTTAAGACCATTTTAGGCCATTTTTGACTATTTTTTAGGTCATTTTAGGCCATTTTAGATCATTTTCAGGTCATTTTTAGACCGATTTTAAGCCATTTCAGGCCATTTTAAGCCATTTTTGACCAATTTTTGACCTATTTTACACTGATTTTAGGCCGCTTTCAGGCCATTTTTAGGCCATTTTAGACCATTTTTAGACCAATTTTAAGCAATTTGAGATCAAATTTAGGCTGTTTAAGACCAATTTTAGGCCATTTTTAGGCCATTTAAGACCATTTAAGACCATTCTAGGCCATTTTTGACTATTTTTAGGTCATTTTAGGCCATTTTAGACCAATTTTAGGCTATTTTACACTGACTTTAGGCCGCTTTCAGGCCATTTTTAGGCCATTTTTTCTATTTCAAATCCGTTTTAGACGATTTCAGGCCATTTTTGACTATTTTCAGGTCGCTTAGACCAATTGAGACCAATATAGACCAATTTTAGGGCATTTTCATATTTCAGGCTTTCCAGGCTTTTTAGGCTGGAAATAGGCCATTTTGGACAAATTTAAGGCCATTTTAGACCATTTTAGATCATTTTTAGGCTATTTTAGACCTATTTTAAGCTATTTCAGGCAAGATTTAGATTGTTTCGTGTTTCGGACCACTTTTTTTTTTGAGTTTTTAATCATTTTAAGGTCATTTATCACCGAATTTAGGCCAATTTCGTGCCATTTTAGCCCATTTTCAGACCACCTACCGTATTCGCCGCCTCATCACAGTACTCGACCAACGCGTCTCTCAACACTGCCTTCTTATCTTTCAGCTTATCAAAGACCACCGGAAACGAGCGATGAGCAATCGAGGAGAACGCAAAACGGGCCTTTTTGGCACAATCCGTCAGGATTGAAGCAGCGAGTGCTGCCACATTCACATTGACGTCTTTCTCGATGATTTTGATCAACGTCTTCAGAATTTCCAGAAGACGTTCCGACAATTCGATGCGGAGAACACCGTCCATGGATTTCTGCAAGAAAAACCTCGTTTTTTTCTATTTTTGTACATTTTTTCACTGAATTTTATGATTTTCAGACTTTGAGAAGCAAAATTTCAGGAAGACGTTGCCAAATTTGAGTTTCCACTGAAAACTAGCCTAGATGCCGAAAACTACAAGTTTCTAGCTCAATTTTGAATTTTTTCGAATTTTCGCGGGTTACTGTAGCTCCAAAAGTACGCAAACACCGCATGACGCTATTTCGAGCAGGGAATTCGCACATAGGCCAAGTAAATAGTGGGAAATTCGAATTTGATAGTGAAAATTGCCAAAAATCACCAGAAATCAGTGAAAATCCACTTTTTTTCAGAAATTTTCGGGTTACTGTAGATTTCAAAGTACGCAAATTATAAACCAGATTGCTATATTCGAATTCCTTGAAAATTTGAGTCTAAAAGTTGAAAACTACAAGTTTCTAGCTCAATTTTAAAATTTTTCACAGTTTCCGGGTTACTGTAGCTCCAAAAGTACGCAAACACCGCATGACGAGCTGGCGGTCTGAAAATTTGGTTCCAGACTAATTTCGGAGTGCGAAGCTCGATTTCGATGTTCCGAACGTTCGAAAATGCAGTTTTCAGCTGGAAAACCGGATTTTTCGCCTTTTTAGACCAGTTTTTCGAAAATTTCCTCAAAATTTTTAATAAAAAAGGATTACTGTACCTTAACACTCTCCCCGCTGGCCACCCGCTCCTTCCAATTCTTATCCACCAACTGGCTCTCCACACTTTTATCGATTTTCTTCGCGACGTCTTCTGGATCCGAAATGTCCCATGGATCCATGGCGGATGACGTGGCAGCACCTTCTGAAGTTTGAAGACCTTCTGATGATCCTTCGTCGGCTACAGTAATCCCATTGTTGATCGAAGATGCGACGGTTTTTGGTTGAGATTTCTGGAAAATGAGGGATTTTGGGACTTTTTGGGAATCTTCAAAATTTTCAGAATTCCAGAATTCCAGAAATACAATTTCTGAGTAATTCTGAGCATTTTGAACATTAAAATGCAATTTTCCATGGTCGAATTGGTCGAAAACCAAAGTTTGAGCGCCGAAATTCGACAATCGGTGTTTGCGTACTTTTCGAGCTGCCGTAATCCGGGGACTAAATCGGTTTTTTGGGGTTTCAGATACACTTTCACGCGTTTTCGATATCAAAAATGAGCTAAAAGGCAACATTTCAGTCTAGAAACTCGAAAACTGGAGGTTTTAGGCTCATTTGGTGTTTGCGTACTTTTGGAGCTACAGTAGTTCGAAATATTTCGATAAATAGCAATTTTAAGGTAATCAGAGTGATCCAAATGCATTTTAAAAGCTAAAAATCGCCAAAAAATCGAGAATTAAACCTAAAACCATGTTTTCAGCCAAAAATTACGCATTCGGTGTTTACGTACTTTCCAAGCTACAGTAATCTGCCAAAATTCGATTTTTGGGGTTCTAGACACAGTTTAACGCGTTTTTGACATCAAAAATCAGCTGAAACGCAAAATTTTAGTCTAAAGACCCGAAAACTAGACGTTTTGGGCTCATTCGGTGTTTGCGTACTTTTGGAGCTACAGTAACCTGGAAAAACCCGAAAATCGTTAAAATCGAGCTGGAAACGTCTAGTTTTCAGCGCCCAGACCCGAATTTTGCGGGAAATTCGAATTTTGTGGCTAAGAATGGTTTAAAATCGCTCAAAATACCTGAAATTTCTGGAATTCCTCCGCCGCTTCGCCCACGTATTGCTGAATTTTCTCCATTTTCGCAGTTTCCGTCGAAATTGGCACCAAAAATGCCGAAATTGCGTCTCCCATGAGTCGTTTCAGGGCTCCAAGGGCCTGACAAGCCTTTTCACGGACTGTGACGTCACTTTCAGAAGAGGCCTGAAAAATTGGGGAAGTTTAGGCTGAAAATAGGCCTTCTCAGGCTTAAAATGGGCCTGGAATCTTTTTTTTTGAATCGAAAAATAAGTCAAAAATGACCAAAATTCTTTTATCCCAAAATAGGCCTTTTTAGGCCTTTTCAGGCCCTATTTCGACGTATCTAGGCTCAAAATAGGCCGTTTTAGGCGATTTTTGTCTTGAAAAAGGCCCTAAAAGCGTACCGTAACCACTAGAGGCGCCACAGCCTTGACAAATGGAATATCCGGATGAAATTGGCGACACCAATAGGCGAATAGGAATGCCAGAAGGGTTTGTTTCGATTCGGGCGATGGAATTCCGAACCATTCGACGACGTCTTTTTGGAGACGTTCTGCGGAGGTCTGAAAATTTGAATTTTTGAAAAAAATTCGAAAAAATCGGTGAAAATCAAATGTTTAAAAAAAATTTTTGGGTTACTGTAGCTCCAAAAGTACGTAAACACCGATTTCGAAGAGTTCATATAGCTGAATTCGAATTCCCCGCAAAAAATGAGACTGGAAGCCAAAAACTAGAAGTTTTTAGCTCAATTTTGAGAATTTTCGTAATTTCGCGGGTTACTGTAGCCCGAAAAGTACGCAAACACCGCATGAAAAGGTTTTGGACTGAAAATTGGGTTTTAGGCTAATTTGGGGTTGCGAAACTCGATTTTGACGATGAAAATCATCGGAAACCATTAGAAATCGGTGAAAATCTAATTTTTCCAGTTTTCCGGGTTACTGTAGCTTCAAAAGTCCGCAAAAACGGAATCTAACCGTAATGAAAGCTGCGCATTTGAATTTCCCGCTAAATTTGAGCTTAAAAGCAAGAAACTAGGAGTTTCTAGCGCAATTTTGAGAATTTTCGTAATTTCGCGGGTTACTGTAGCCCGAAAAGTACGCAAACACCGCATGAAAAGGTTTTGGACTGAAAATTGGGTTTTAGGCTAATTTGGGGTTGCGAAACTCGATTTTGACGATGAAAATCATCGGAAACCATTAGAAATCGGTGAAAATCTAATTTTTCCAGTTTTCCGGGTTACTGTAGCTTCAAAAGTCCGCAAAAACGGAATCTAACCGTAATGAAAGCTGCGCATTTGAATTTCCCGCTAAATTTGAGCTTAAAAGCAAGAAACTAGGAGTTTCTAGCGCAATTTTGAGAATTTTCGTAATTTCGCGGGTTACTGTAGCCCGAAAAGTACGCAAACACCGCATGAAAAGGTTTTGGACTGAAAATTGGGTTTTAGGCTAATTTGGGGTTGCGAAACTCGATTTTGACGATGAAAATCATCGGAAACCATTAGAAATCGGTGAAAATCTAATTTTTCCAGTTTTCCGGGTTACTGTAGCTTCAAAAGTCCGCAAAAACGGAATCTAACCGTAATGAAAGCTGCGCATTTGAATTTCCCGCTAAATTTGAGCTTAAAAGCAAGAAACTAGGAGTTTCTAGCGCAATTTTGAGAATTTTCGTAATTTCGCGGGTTACTGTAGCCCGAAAAGTACGCAAACACCGCATGAAAAGGTTTTGGACTGAAAATTGGGTTTTAGGCTAATTTGGGGTTGCGAAACTCGATTTTGACGATGAAAATCATCGGAAACCATTAGAAATCGGTGAAAATCTAATTTTTCCAGTTTTCCGGGTTACTGTAGCTTCAAAAGTCCGCAAAAACGGAATCTAACCGTAATGAAAGCTGCGCATTTGAATTTCCCGCTAAATTTGAGCTTAAAAGCAAGAAACTAGGAGTTTCTAGCGCAATTTTGAGAATTTTCGTAATTTCGCGGGTTACTGTAGCTCCAAAAGTACGCAAACACCGAACGACAAGATTTTGGGCTGAAAATTGGGTTTTAGGCTAATTCGGGGTCGCGAAATTTGAATCTGATAGTTGAAATTGCCAGAAATCATCGGAAATTTGTGAAAATCGTAATTTTACCAAAAAAAAGGGCCTAAACCAGCCTGAATTGGCCCAAATCGGCCCAAAAAAACCACCTACCGTATCCGCGACGGCTGCCATCGCCGCCAGAATCGCGTCTCTCACATTCTTCTTCTTGTCTTTGGCTCGTTTGATCAGGAATGGGACTACCTGAAAAAGAAAAACAGATGATTAGGCCGATATTTCAGGCTTTTCAGGCTTTTTAGGCTGAAAATAGGTCATACCATTTTTAGGCTATTTAGACCAAATTCGGGCCATTTTAGACTAATTTTAGGCCATTTAAGATCATTTTCAGGTTATTTTCAAACCGATTTTAGACCGAATTTAGGCCATTTTTAGACCATTTTTAGGCTATTTTACAACATTTTAGGCTAATTTTAGGCCATTTCAGACCGATTTCAGACCATTTTTAGACCAATTTTAAGCAATTTGAGATCAAATTTAGGTCATTTAAGACCAATTTTTACGCCATTTTAGATCATTTTCAGGCCATTTTAGGCCATTTTAGACTATTTTTAGGCCATTTAAGATCATTTCCAGGTTATTTTTAGACCGATTTTAGACCGAATTTAGGCCATTTTTAGACCAATTCAGGCCTTTTTAGACTAAATTTAGGCTATTTTAGACCAATTTTAGGCCATTTTCAGGCCATTTTAGGCCATTTAAGATCATTTTCAGGCCATTTTTGACCGATTTTAGACCGAATTCAGGCCATTTTTAGACCAATTCAGGCCTTTTTAGACTAAATTTAGGCTATTTTAGACCAATTTTAGGCCATTTTCAGGCCATTTTCAGGCCATTTTAGACTATTTTTTAGGCCATTTTAGGCCATTTTAGACTATTTTTACGCCATTTTAGATCATTTTCAGGCCATTTTCAGGCCATTTTAGACTATTTTTTAGGCCATTTTAGGCCATTTTAGACTATTTTTACGCCATGTTAGATCATTTTCAGGCCATTTTAGACCGATTTTCGGCCATTTTTCTCGATTTTTGAGTCATTTTTCGCTCCAAAACGCACCATTCCAATGAATCCAGCGAATTTTGACCGTAATCCCCTCGCCAGCAGCTCCACAGTTCGAATCGCCGTCGTCACGACGACGATATTCGATTCGCGATCGAGAATTTTGCGAATTTATCCATTAATTCCCCATAAACCGTCATTGTGGCTGTCGAGAGACGCGGATTTTGTTCGATGATCGTGTTGAGAGCCTGAAAATGGGGGGTTTTTAGGCTTTTAGGCTTGTTTTAGGCTTTTCTAGTTTTCGAATTCGTTTTTCCCACTAAAAACTAGCCTGGCAGTCGAAAACTGGAAGTTTCTAGCGTTATTTTTGAATTTTTTCGAGTTTTTCGGGTTACGGTAGCTCCAAAAGTACGCAAACACCGCATGACAAAATTTTGCGCTGAAAATTGGGGTTTAGGCTAATTCGGGGTCGCGAAACTCGATTTTCACGATGCAAATCATCGGAAACCATTAGAAATTGGTGAAAATCTAATTTTTCCAGTTTTCTGGGTTACTGTAGCTTCAAAAGACCGCAAAAACGGAATCCAACCGTAATGAAAGCAGCGTATTTGAATTTCCCGCTGAATTTGAGCTCAAAAGCAAGAAACTAAAAGTTTCTAGCGCGATTTTGAGAAATTTAAAACATTCGCGGGTTACGGTAGCTCCAAAAGTACGCAAACACCGCATGACAAAATTTCGGACTAAAAATTGGCGTACCTGCTCAACAGAGGTCGGTAAACTCGATTTTTGCATTGAAAGATGCCAAAAACCATCGAAAATTGATGAAAATCAATTGTTTTTCGAACTTTCCGGGTTACTGTAGCTTCAAAAGTACGCAGCGGGATCTGGCCGAATCACAAACATTCTATTCGAATTTCCCCACAAAATTTGGGTCTAAAAGCCGAAAACTAGAAGATTCTAGCGATGTTTTGAAATTTTTCGATATTTCCGGATTACTGTAGCTTGAAAAGTCCGCAAACACCGAATGACCCGATTTTGGGCTCAGAATTGGGTTTTAAGCTAACTTAGGGTCGAGAAACTCGATTTTGATATCGAAAATTGCTAAAAATCGTCGAAAATCGGTGAAAATCACGTTTTTTCAAACTTTTTGGGTTACTGTAGCTCCGAAAGTCCGCAAACACTGCATGACACGATTCGGGGCTGAAAATTGCGTTTTAGGCAAATTGTCGGGTGGAAAACGCGATTTAGATCGTTTCAGGCAAGAAATTTGTATTTTTCGGTCATTTTTAGGCTTTTGGTCCGTTTTAGGCCCAAATTTTCAGCCTAAACTTTCAGGCTGCGCGCACCTCCAAACCCTCTTTCCGCTCCTTCCACTTGGCGCCCGCCTCCAGCACGGCCTTCTTATGGTCCGCGGGCCATCGCGCCACCACATCCACCTCATCCAGTATCGACCATTCGTCCATATAGTAGTCTGAAAGTTGGGGCCTAAAATAGGCCTAAAATGGGTCTAAAATCAATAAAAATAGTCGAAAAACGGCCTAGAAATGGGGAAAATTGGCTCAAAGTTGGACAAATTCATATATATGTCAACGGAGGCGAAAAAATGGATTTAAAAACGAAAAATCGGGAAAAAACACTGCAAAAAACAAACAAAACGGGGATAGGATAAAAGGGGCGGAGCTTAGAAAAATAAGCAAACAAAGCTGAAAAAAAAACAGAGATTGAGAGTAGAAAATTTGAGAGATGCTGCTTAAAAGGGGGCGGAGCTTAAATTTGGGGGCGGAAAAAGGATTTGAAAGAGGCGATTTGGGGAAAATGGGGGACATTTAATGAGGCATCATTTCTTGTTTCTCCCCGCCAACGGCCTTTTTCGTTCCCGAGACGATGTCGTCGATGCGGAGCAGCATTACCTGCAAAAATAACGAATTTCTGACTGAAAATTGACTTTTTTCAGGCCAAAAATAGGCCATTCCAGCCTAAATTTGGGCTTTTTTAGGCCAATTTTCAGGCCTTGACAAGCCTATAAAATTTCCTAAAATTAGACCTTTCAGCCCAGAATTAGGCGTTTTTAGACTATTTTCAGGCCATTCCAGCCTAAATTTAGACTACTTTAGACCAATTTCAGGCCCGCAGAGAATTTTTTTCTAAGAAAATCGTCCTAAAAATAGCATTTTTCAGCATGAAAATAGGCTTTTTCAGACCAACGTTCAGCCTTTTTCAGATCAAATTTGGAATATTATTGATCTTGAACTAGACCTGAACTAGACGATTTTCAAACTGTAAATAACCAATTCAGGCCTTCTTTAGGCCATTTTTCATTATTTTTTGACGTTTTCCAGATCAAACTTAGGCTACTTTAAACCAATTTCAAGCCTTTTAAATCGGCCTGAGGCCATTTTTTTGACGTTTTTTAGCTAAAATTTGGTCAATTTTAAGCCAAATTCAGGCCTGAAGAGCTTCAAAAATGGTCTTAAACACCTGAAAACAGGCCTAAATTTGGGATTCTTCAGACTGAAAAATAGGAAATTTTAGGTTATTTTTTAGACCAACTTCAGATCAAATTTAGGCCTGAAATTGGGCTTTGAGACGTTTTGGAGCGTTTTTAGACTATTTTCAGGCCATTCCAGCCCAAATTTGGGCTTGTTTTCTGTGAAAATCGGCCTAAAATCAGCATTTTTCAGCATGAAAATAGGCTTTTTCAGACCAAATTTTAGGCTTTCTAGGCCGTTCCAGCCTGAATTTGGCCTTTTTTAGACCGATTTCAGGCCTAGAAAGCCTAAAAATGGCCTAAAATCAGAATTTTTCAGCGTGAAAATAGGCTTTTTCAGATCAAATTTGGACTATATTTGACCTTGAACTAGACCTGAACTAGACCATTTTCACACTGAAAATAACCTAGTCAGGCCGCCTTTAGGCCATTTCTCAGGCTTGTAGGCTCGTTTTTAGGTCGAAATCGCGGTTTCAGATTTTTTCTCTCGATTTTTTGGTCAAATTTCAGTCAAAAATCGCTGAAAATCCAAATTTTACAACATACCGAAGTCTCGATGGCGGTCTTGAGGACTTGAAGACGGACGGCGAGCGGGTCCCAGATTTCCAGTTTGTTCATGTCGACCTGAAAATGATGAATTATAGATGATTTAGGGTCATTTTAGAGGAATTTTCAGTCATTTTCAGAGCTAAAAATGAGCTATTTTGACCGGAAAATCAATTTTATAGCATTTTTTCTCAGATTTTCAGCCGATTTTCAGCCAATTCTAGGTAACTTTGGTGCAATTTTGACCACAAAAAGACAGATTTTCAGCTGAATTTTACGACTTTTTCAAATTCTGGGTCGCTTTTAAGCGATTTTGATCCCAAAAACACAGATTTTCAGCCAAAAACCAACACCTACCAAGTCTCCAGTGACTCCATCGACTCCGAACGTCCAATTCTTGGCATCCTGTGCATGGATGGCACGAAGTTCGGTCATTTTGCGAATAGTGGATCCACCGCAATTCTGAATCAGTGTACGTGGAATCACTTCCAGCGCCAGTCCGATCGCCTTGTACGGCCACTTCTTGACACCGTCCATTTTGGCGCCCTGCTCTTCGATTTCACGGCTCAACGCCATCTCGAGAGCTCCGCCTCCTGGCACCAGCTTTGGATTGATCATCACGTTGCGGACGACGTGCAGAGAGTCTTGCAGATTGCGTTCCACCTGGAAAACGGGGGATTTTTGAATGGAAATCGATTACTGTAGCTCGAAATTCAAATTCCCCACAAAATTTGGACCTGGAAGCCGAAAACTAGAAGTCGCTAGCTCAATTTTAAAGATTTTCAAATTTTCGTGGGTTACTGTAGCTCCAAAAGCACGCAAACACCGCATGACGAGCTAGAAGTGTGGAAACTGCGTTTTAGGCTGTTTGGGATGGGAACCTCGATTTTGAAAGTAAAAACTGCCAAAAATCGTCAGAAATTGGTGAAGTTTTTATTTTTCCAGAAATTCCCGGGTTACTGTAGCTCGAAAAGTACGCAAAAACGGAATCTGACTGTATTCTAAGCATTGTATTCGAATTTTACACAAAATTTGACTCAAAAAACCGAAGACTAGAAGTTTCTAGCTCAATTTAGAACTTTTTTCATATTTCCCGGGTTACTGTAGCTCCAAAAGTACGCAAACACCGTAAGCTAGAGGTCAAAAAACTGTGTATTGGGCTAATTTCCGGGTGAAAAACACGATTTTGACGATGAAAACGTTCGAAATGTTAGTTTTGGACGGAAAAATCAAATTTTTATCAAAAATTCGGTTAAAAAAGGTTCAAAAATCATCGATTTCTCGTAAAAGTTTGGTCTAAAAATCGTATTTTATGGGTCGATTTTCACCGCAAACCATCAAAAATTGAAAATATGATTTTTTTTTCAAATTTTTCGGGTTACTGTAGCTCTAAAAGTACACAAACACCGCGAGACGAGCTAGACGTCTAAAGATTGCGTCTTGGGCTAATTTCGAGGTCAGAAACTCGATTTTGTTGATTAAAACATATAAAAAATGTCGTGCTCAGCTAGAAAAGGACCAATTTGGGACAAATCTCGCCTATTTTTCCCTAAATCGCCCCTCCCAATACCACCTTACCTCATTGATAACGTCCTTGGATGGTCCACGAAGCACAACCGTACACGCGGTGGTCTTCTCCGACGTCACGTAGGTGTAATACTCATCAGCGATCTTGACGACTTCAAAGAGTTCCGCCTGGGTTCCAACGTCTTCGTCCCGCAAGTCAGAAGTGTCATGAACGATTCGGGCACCACAGACACGTGATAAGCGGTTGTTATCAGTCTTTTTGAGTCTTCTGAGACACGTAATTCCGGCCTTCAACAGGAAATGTTGGGCCAAATCGGAAATTCCTTTCTCGGTGAACACCAAGTCTGGCTTCAGAGCGATAATCTCGTCACACTGCTTACGAATCGCCTGTTCCTCCTGCTCGAGGATCGCTGAGATGTCCTCCTCTCGCATGATCTCCAACGACGTCTGCGATTCTCCCTTCTTGTATTCCAGATTGCAATCCAGAAGAACGATGCGTGGATTCTCGATACGACGACGCATCTTGGCGTGGAGAATGTCCTTGTTGAGGACGACACCTTTGATCACTTGAGAGTCTTCGATACGGCCTCCTGGGATCTTCTCGATACGGCAGTATCTGCAAAATTTTGAATTTTCGCGGGTTACTGTAGTTCTGGATTCGAATTCTCCACAAAATTCGAGTCTAGAAGCTGAAAACTACAAGTTTAGAGCGCAATTTTGAAGTTTCGCGGGTTACTGTACCTTTAAAAGTACGCAAACACCGATTTTGGAGCCAAAAATACATTTTTGGTTACTGTAGCTCTATAGATTCGAATTTCTCACAAAATTTGGCGCCGGAAACCGAAAACTAGCAGTTTCTAGCTCAATTTTGAAGATTTTCGAACTTTCTCGGGTTACTGTACCTTCGAAAGTACGCAAACACCGCATGGCGAGCTAGAGGTCTGGAAACTGGGCTTTCGGCTCATTTTAGGGTGAGAAACGTGATTTTGATAGTGAAAATTGCCAAAACTCATCAGAAATCGGCGAAAAATCTATTTTATTCAAAGTTTCCAGGTTACGGTAGCTCTGAAAGTACGCAACCACCGCAATATGAGCAATCGGTCCCCAATTTCGCGTCTAGGGCCAAATCAGGGCCGTAAATTTCGATATTACTATTGGAAATGGCCAAAAATCATCAGAAATCGACAAAAATTCTATTGTTTCCGAAATTTCCGGGTTACTGTAGCTTCAAAAGTACGCAAACACCGCATGACGAGCTAGAGGTTTGGAAATTGGACTTTCGGCTAATTTTGAGGTGAGAAACACGATTTTCACGATGAAAACGTTTTCAAAAATTGTTTTGGACGGGAAATCGAAATTTCGGTGTTTGCGTACTTTCCAAATTACAGTAATCCCCAAAATTTAGTTTTTTAAGCGTTTCAGGCTCATTTTAAACGATTTTAAGGGTATAAATGCTATCAACATTCAATTTTCAGTCGAGAAACTCGCAAACTAGAGGTTTCGGGCTCATTCGGTGTTTGCGTATTTTGAGAGCTACAGTAACCCAAAAACCTCGAAAATCGTTAAAATTGAGCTAGAAACTTCTAGTTTTCAGCGCCTACACCCAAATTTCATAGGGAATTCAGATTTTGAAGTTTTAGACACATCAATAGACGACTTTAAAGGTGAAAATGGTCCCCTACCTCTTGATATCAATCTCTCTCACTCCGGCCTTCTCGACGCGAATCGTTTTGACGGCTTCAATGGAGATGTTGACAGCCAGATCCATCCATTTGCTGATCATCTTCGTTCCGAGACACGATTTGACGACCTTCGCGATTTCGGCGTCGTCAGAAGTGTCGACGTCACGGGAGAACTTCTTCTCCGCCCACTGGATCATGTCTTCGAGAGCTTGACGGTAGGCCTGGAAAAAAGAGGGTTGGGGACTGAAATTGGGGTTTTTGGGATGGGAATTCAGAATTTTAGGTCTGGAAAACCCAGAAAATGAGGTTTTGGGGTCTAAAAATCCAAATTTCAGCCAGAATTTCATTCAGAATCGTCTAAAATCGAATTTCTAGGTCAGAAAAGCTCAAAATTCAATTTTTTTTTGAGTTTGAAAATCGCTGAGAAAATGGGTCAAAATACGGATTTTGGCGAGCTTTTGCTATAATTAATTTCAGACCGAAATTTGCTGAAAATCTCAATTTCTGGGTCAATTTTCTCGATTTTTGACCAATTTTACAGTATTCTGACCCATTTCAACGGGATTTTCAGCGCATTTCCTCACCTGAATGATGAGCGTTGGATGGGTCTTCTGCTCGAGATACGTCTGTGCGTGCGCCATCACCTCTCCGGCCAAAATGATCACAGAAGTCGTGCCGTCGCCAGTCTCCTCGTCCTGGGTGCGCGCGATTTCGATCATCGATTTGGCGGCCGGGTGCTTCACAGTGATCTCTCTGGAAATATCGATTTTTTGGTTGAAAATCCCAGAGAATTCGGTCAAAAATGGATCAAAAGCCATGAAAAATGAGTCAAAATTCATGAAAAATGTCTCAAAATCCATGAAAAATGATCCAAAATTCATGAAAAATGACTCAAAATCCATGAAAAATTGTCCAAAATTCATAAAAAATGGTCCAAAATTCATGAAAAACTGTCCAAAATTTATGAATACTGGCTCAAAATTCATGAAAAATAACTCAAAATTCATGAAAAATGACTCAAAATTCATTAAAAATGGCTCAAAATTCATTAAAAATGGCTCAAATACCATGAAAAATGATCCAAAAATCATTAAAATTGGCTCAAAAAGCATAAAAATGACTCAAAATGCATTGCAAAATGCAAATTACTCGAAATTCATTAAAAATGGTCCAAAATTCATGAAAAATGGCCGAAAATCTAATTTTCTGGCTATTTTCACCTCAAAATGGCGTTTCCATCGTTGGTCATGACGATTCCTCCCATTGGATCCATGAGCATTTTCAGCATGGCGCGTGGTCCCAAACTCGTGCGGATCACATCGGCGATGGTCTGAAAATGGGATTTTTAGGCTTTTTTGACTCTTTAAGCTCGAAAATGACGATTTTAAGCGATTTTAAAACTTTTTAAGCTCAAAACTCGATATTTCCCACCTTGCAAGCGTTGATGTTGCCCACTTGAACCTGATGGCCACTCTCACGCTTCGTACCCTGACTGAGCACAATGATCGGCGATTGTCCGGCTCCGCGCATCATTTTTGACGCTGAAAATTGGGAAATTAGGGGAAAAATAGCTGAAAATTGAGAAAAATCGAAGAAAATAGATTTCAGAGCAGAAAAACTGGTTTTAGAGCGAATTCTGGGTGGAAAATGACTATTTTCGGTGGTTTTAAACCGATTTTTAGCATTAGAAAACATGAAAATCACCAGAAACCGTTGAAAATGAGCATTTTCGGCAAAAGTCAGTTTTTTGAGCTAAAAATCAAAATTTTCGTCTTTTTTTCAGATTTCTAGTCGATTTTCCTCAAAAATTCTGGCGAAATGGTTATTGAAAGCCAAACACAGCCTGAAAAATCAGAAAATTTGAACGAAGAATTTGAAAATTGACAAAATTCGAAAATTTCGGGAAAATTCCGGAAAATCCATGGATTTTCATAGATTTCTAGTCGAAAAATCGGATATTTCAACGATTTTCAACCCAAAAATGAGAAATAAATGACGAAAAACGAGCGGAAATTCATTGAAATCGAAAAATCCAGAAGGTTCTTTGCTTCTCGAAAGAAAAATGGCGCCGATTTGAATAGGGCGCTTTTCGTGGCGAGACCCAGACTTGAGAATCTCTTTGGTTTTAATACTTAGAGTTGACCGTTTTTAGAAATCTTTTTTGTAAAAAATTGAAAAACTAAAAAGAAATTTTTTGAAAAAAAAGTTTTTTAAATTGGTTTAAGATAAGTATTTTTAATCAGCGCTCAAAGTTGACTTGGGTACGGTAACACTTGTTTTGAGTGTGTCGTTGAAAAGGATTTACGGGATGTGAAGGAGAAAAGAGGAGTGTGGTGGAAAAAGAAAAAAAGGTATAAATTTGAATGGAAAGACGAAAAAAAAAACAGAAAACAGATAAAAAATTTATCAAAAATTCAAAAATTAGCTCAAAATAATTTTTGAAAAATTGTTTTGCAATTTTTTCAAGTTTCCTGTTGAATTTCAACCAATTTCAAACAAAAAATAGTTAGACAACCATGAATCTTTATTACAATGACAAAAAAAGCTCGGAAAACCATCTACAAAATCACAAAAAAGTTCAAAAAGGAATGGGCCGAACCGGGGATTGAACCCGGGACCTCTCGCACCCAAAGCGAGAATCATACCACTAGACCATTCGGCCACACTTGAAAAGAGGAGCGGAGTGCATATAAGAAAGGAGAGCGATTGCGGCGTCTGCGTCTCTCACGCTGGTGGATCGGAAGGAAGGAATAGTGTTGAATGGGGATTGAATTTTAGAAAAATATTTTTGAAGAAAAATCCAAATTTTCTGGCAATTTTTCCTGAAGACCTGGCATAGTTACAGCCTTTTTAGTCTCCATTGGACCTCAAATTTTTTTCAGGAATTAATTAGCTTCCAACTCCAAAAGGAGCAGTTTCGTTGCTTCAAATTTGAGGTTCTAACTTAAAAAATCTTGGGAGCAATAGCTGATTTTTGATTTTTCGGGAAAATCTGAAATTCCAAAAAACTTGAAAAATTTAGATTTTTTTTTTGATTTTCAGAAAGCTATTATTGGTTTTTTGTATTGTTTCAATTTTTTAAAAATTTTCTATCATTTCTCAACCCATTTTTATAAATTTCTCCTCTGAAAACCCTTTCAAAAAAACCCAAAACCTCAATTTCCCTTAAAAAAACAAAACTAAAATTCAAATCTCGCGCCCAGATAACCCCCTCGGTCCAATGGAGCGCACTTGCTTTTCTAACCAAAAAACCGACCAACTTCTGTGTTTGTCAGCTCAAATCCCATCGATTTTTTCCAAATTTTCAGCTTTCTAGGCTTAAAAAACACGAAAAAACCGAAAAAATTCATTAAAACCTCGCAAAAGTTACAGAAAACCCTCGAAAAATGCCAAAATGAGCGGGCAACCAACAAATAACGAATATCCGGGTCCACCGCCGGAAATCCTGGCTCAAATCCAAAATCCGGCTAATGTGAGGGTGAGAAATTTGAATTTAGCGCTTAAAACGCCCAAAAATCCCGGTTTAAGATAGAAAATCCACCTCAAATCGGCGAAGTCATCCAGAACAATCCACGTGGCGGCGGAAATGCGGGAAACGCGCCACAAGCGCCCCAGCCACCACCACCAAATGCACAGAATAACAGTCTGAATGCTGCTCGGTGAGGATTTTCGGCTCAAAAAATTTTTATTAAGTTTTAAAATTTTGAATTTGAAAAAAAATTTTTTTTTTTCAAAATTTCAAATTTTTGACCTAAAACGAATTTTTAAAGTTTCAGAGATCGTTTGTTTCATGCAATGTTGGTCCGCGTAGCGTTGAAATACAGCGGAAAAGTCAATTTACGGATGAGACGGCTCATAGAGGGCGTTCTGTTGTTTTTGGTAAGATTTTGTTCATAAAAATGAGTTCTGGGGCCTAAAAAAACCTAATCATCCGCTGAAAATGCTGAAAATCCAGGAAAAATGACCCAGAAATGTTGAAAATCGGCTGAAAATGATCTAAAAATGACCACAAAACCAAATTCCAATTTTTTCGAAATTTCATATTTTTAGTCAAAATCCATGAAAAATGGTCCAAAATCCATGAAAAATGGTCCAAAATCCATGAAAAATGGTCCGAAATCCATGAGAAATGATCCAAAATCCATGAAAAATGGGTCAAAATCCATGAAAAATGGTCCAAAATTCCTGAAAAATGGTCCAAAATTTATGAAAAATGGTCCAAAATCCATGAAAAATGGCTCAAAATCCATGAAAAATGGTCCAAAATTCCTGAAAAATGGTCCAAAATCCATAAAAAATGGTCCAAAATTTATGAAAAATGGTCCAAAATCCATAAAAAATGAGTCAAAATTCATGAAAAATGGTCCAAAATCCATGAAAGATGGTCCAAAATCCATGAAAAATGGCTCAAAATTCATGAAAAATGGTCCAAAATCCATAAAAAATGGTCCAAAATTTATGAAAAATGGTCCAAAATCCATGAAAAATGGCTCAAAATTCATGAAAAATGGTCCAAAATCCATAAAAAATGGTCCAAAATTTATGAAAAATGGTCCAAAATCCATAAAAAATGAGTCAAAATTCATGAAAAATGGTCCAAAATCCATGAAAGATGGTCCAAAATCCATGAAAAATGGCTCAAAATTCATGAAAAATGGTCCAAAATCCATAAAAAATGGTCCAAAATTTATGAAAAATGGTCCAAAATCCATGAAAAATGGCTCAAAATTCATGAAAAATGGTCCAAAATCCATAAAAAATGGTCCAAAATTTATGAAAAATGGTCCAAAATCCATAAAAAATGAGTCAAAATTCATGAAAAATGGTCCAAAATCCATGAAAGATGGTCCAAAATCCATGAAAAATGGCTCAAAATTCATGAAAAATGGTCCAAAATCCATAAAAAATGGTCCAAAATTTATGAAAAATGGTCCAAAATCCATAAAAAATGAGTCAAAATTCATGAAAAATGGTCCAAAATCCATGAAAAATGGCTCAAAATTCATGAAAAATGGTCCAAAATCCATAAAAAATGGTCCAAAATTTATGAAAAATGGTCCAAAATCCATAAAAAATGAGTCAAAATTCATGAAAAATGGTCCAAAATCCATGAAAAATGGCTCAAAATTCATGAAAAATGGTCATTTTTAGGCAATTTCAACAAATTTTGGGTCATTTTTAACGGTTTTTGACCGATTTTTAGGCATTTTTCATCATTTTTAGCTATTTTTAAGCTAAAATTGCCCCAAAATTAAAACTGAGCAATCCAAAAATCCCCCTGATTTTTCAGGCTCTGGTCCTTCTCGCCTCTCTGCTCTTCATCCATTTAAATTTGTACCGATCGCCGGTGACGTGTCTGAAATCGATAGATGCCGATTGGATTCGTAAAGGTGGGGCGATTTTCAGAGAGAAATTTCTAGAAAAATCGAGCTGAAAATCTGAAAATTTGGCTGAAAATAGGCTATTTTAGGCCTAAAAAGGCCTGAATTAGGCCTAAAATCAGCGATTTTAGACCTAAAAAGGCCAGTAAAAGTGATTTTTGACCCCGGAAATGGCTGAAATTGGTGATTTTCAGTCTGAAAATGCTATTAGACAAAAATTGCCGATTGCTCAGCCTAAAAAATCGCCAGATTTCAAAAATTTGGTCCATTTTTGGCCTATTTTGGTTTGAAATAGGCCTAAAAAAGTCGGTAAAAGCGATTTTTGACCTTGGAAATGGCTGAAATGGGTGATTTTCAGTCTAAAAAGAGAGTTTACAGCCAATTGCTCAGCTTAAAAAATGCCTAAAATTCAGCAAAAATTGACTTTCAGGAATCCTGCGAATTGAGGTCGTCCGAAATTTGGACGTTTTGGAGGAGAAGGAGAAGTTTATCACGGCGTATAGTGAGTTTTTAGGCTAAAAATAGCTAAAAATAGGCTGAAAATCTGGAATTTTCAGCAAATTTGGGTTACTGTAGCTTGGAAAGTCCGCAAACACCGAATTTTTCGAAAATTAAGATTTCGCGCTTATCTCGCGGGTTTAGACCAATTTCACTATGGGAAAAACGAATTTGGCATGGAAAACTACCCAAAATGACATTTTCGCGGGTGTGTCGNNNGCTANCCCTAAATTCTGGGTCATTCTAAGGTCAATATCAGGCCATTTAGGACTAGCTTAGGCTGGTTTAAGGCGCTTTTTACGCTGAATTAGGTCAATTTTATGCTGATTTAGAGTAGTTTTACGCAGATTTAGAGTGGTTTTAGGCCTATTCATGCCCATTTTGAGATCAATTTCGGTCATTTCAGGCCATTTTAGCTTACTTTTAGGTCAATTTAGGGTCATTTTAACAATTTTTATGCAAATTGAGGCATGTTTAGGCTTTTTCCAGCCCTGTCTAGGCTCACCTTATTTGATTTCAGGCCTTTTTCAGGCTTTTTAAGGCCATTTTAAACGTTTAAGGTCGATTTCGGGCTTTTCAGGATCATTTTTAGGCTTTTAAAGGTCGTTTTATGTCATTTTGAACCGAATTCCCCGTTTTCCCCATTAAAACTACCGTACCTTTCGCTTTCTCCGTGCATCTGCCGTCTGTTGCCCCTGTCTGATGGAGTACCGTATCACACATGGACCAAATCGAAAAACGTCGGCCGGATTGAAGTGACACGTTCGACTGGACTTGTCAGTTACTGTAATTTGCAATTTTAAGCTGAAAAAT